ATATCAATCAGAGAAGAGGGGAACACACTCCCTCCTCTAAGTAGGATATGCCAGAAGCACAGTATTTCGTTCTACACTCTAAGTTCCCATATCTCTTCAATGAAGGGGTCTCTCTGATTAGCAAGCATGAGGGGTCCTGCATTCACGGCCTAAGGCAAAATGAGAAGCTGGCTGTGGAAGACCATCAACTCAGGCCCTGGGAGGGCCTCTAGTTACAAAAAGACTCTGTCAGTTGCCAGCAGTGGCTTCTCTAATTGTGTGCCGCACTGGATGAGAATAATTTCAGTACAAGAATGCCTTGGGCAACTTATGTTCACTGTGAGGTTTAGAGACTCTTGGATGCATAATGGGAGGCCACTAAAGCCTCTATGGTAAAAGGGTGTGTTAAGGGAGGCATTAATGGAGGGATTGATATTTCAAAAAATTCTAGAGCAACATGTTTCCCAATTCAAAGTCAGTCCATTTCTAAGTGTTGTATGAATAAGTAAGCAAGCAGATCCGATAAATATGGGATGTTGTGGTCACTGTGGCTGACAGCTGACAGAATGTGCCCGTGACATGGGTTCTACCACGGCTTCTGTCCCCCTCTCAGCTCACAGCTCCTCCTATTGCCTCAGAGAAATATTCCAGAGGGGGACACGTGTGGATTTCTAAAGATGGTTCCAAGTAAGCAGGCACAGGGTAGGCTTGATGTGGGAAACGAACAGCTGGAAATGGTCTATGGATGGCAGTGAAAAGAACTGATGCTGATGCACATGAGCGAGGATGTCCCCAGGCAGATCCCTTTCGGGACATAATTTTATGTTTTAGAACCATAGTATTACTAAAGATCTGTCCATGAACCTGATTTAAACTCAAAGACAGATTCTGGGAGCTCTTTCACTTCACTCCTAGTTATGAGTACGAGATGAGGGCAGGTGCAGCTCTAGAGCATGGTTATTTTTCAATTAAGACAGGGTTGCAAGAAAGCCCGGTTGACGACTAAGTCCTTCTTGTTCAGTCCTCCAATTTTTCCTAAGAAGGATCCCACAGTGATGGAAAGTAGATTTAAACACATAAAAATCAAGGTTCAAGAAAGCTTAACATTCTTCTAGCATATGAAAGCAATTATATTATTAATTTTCCAATAATTATTTAACACATATATAAACATATATAAAATATATTATGTGCACGAATGAGTTTTCACAAAATGTTAGAAACACTGCCATCAGAGGATGAAAAACGTACCATCACTCCAAAAGAACACTCTTGTGGTGGCCACTTGAACAAAACCTGTCCATTACATAAATTCACACTAAAAACAAAAGGAAAACATTCCATTTCCTTTGCTGTTTTAAACCTGAAAGCTATTACTGCTGTTTCCCACTTTTCCACACCAATGGCCTGGGCATCTAAGCACATGGAAATGAAACCTGTGAACAGCTACATGGGCTGTGGGGCTTTGTGTAGCATTGAAACTAAAGACTTCCACCCACTCCTGTGATGAAAAGATGTTGAAAATTTCCCATTCTCCATTTATACTCAATTAGGATATTATTCAAAATAATATCTCTGCAGCTCCCCTGAATTATTCCTTAGATGATTACCTCTAAACAACAATAATGATGCCCTCACTCACTCCTACCCTCGTAGAAAAGATATGTACACACCTCAGCCTGCCTATTAGCTCAATGTTATTTTGTACTTTCCTTCAAAGCCCTTATTTCCATCTTATCCAACAAAGCGTTACCATTTGTTGACCATCTTTTTTCCCACAAACATATAAGCACCAGGACTGCAAGAACTTGTTTCATGTCACTATATCCAAATCCTATCCTGCCTCATTTCTGCTAAATTGGGTACACAGAGTCTAAAGTACATGGCATGTGAGGGATGTTGAAACATTAGCATCAAGAGCACAGTCTCTGAGAAAGAAAGGCTTGATTGGCAGAGTGCTCCTGTCTCTCTCCCTTGCTAGGTTTGTATTGTTTCACAATTTACCTAAACTCAAAGGCCTCCGTTGAGTCAAAAAGTTAATATTAAAAATATTATGTAGTATACTAAGAAGTGAATTTATGTATTTTAACTGAGGTACTTCATGGTCAACAGTGTCTAATACGCCACAGGAAATACATCAGTGTTTTGATAATAAGCAGGAAAGGAAAAAGCTGTCCCAGAGGACCAGGAGCTGCCTGCAGTCACTGCAAGGCCAAGTCTCATCCTGCTGAAAAGAAAAATCTCACACACCTCCTTCATCAAAGGTACACAGTTACCAAGACAAAACTAAGGGTATTTTGTAACCATACCAGTAAAAATGGTAAAAGATAAAATCCCAAATCATAAAAATGACTAATATCCCCCTCTTCTTACTAACATGACTGACTGGAACTTCTTATAAATTAACTTTAGTTTCACTACGTTGTTTTTGCCTTCTAGAAAACAATGATTAGGTTTACCAAAGATAAAATGTTTACCAAAGATAGAATAAAGTTTACCTCCTCACTACATTCAATACAGAAAACAACTTGCTTCCCTGAATAGCAATCAAATCCACAATCACATGCCAAAATCTTGTAAGAAGTCCTTCTGAGCACACTGTCACTGTTATACCTCACAGTCCCTTATGGTCTGTAGTCATTCTTACTAGAGTGCATTACATTCCTCTCTTTGATTACAGGTGCAATCCCCCAGGTCACTGGAAGAGAGCACTGAAAAGACATGATTTTAAAGACTTGGGTTAAGAATGAACAAGAAATTAGTTTCATGACAAAAATTGCAACTACAAAAAAATAAAGCTAGCCTAAGGAAAGAATACTTGAATTTGAATGCAAATGATAAATTGAATCACAATGCAAAATGATTAAATGAAGAAAATTGTAAAGTATATCTGAAAATCCATAATTAAAATAGGTTTTAATATATTCTCTAAGGAAATGAAAACCACAGTAATATTTATCACCATATGATAAATTAGAAAACAGTTGATAAAATATACCAATGAAACAACTACAGAAGTATTCATTTCACAAGGAAATTCAGGTAGTTTTATGTGTGTGTATGTGTGAGGAGGACTAGCCCTGAGCTAACATCCAATGCCAATCTTCCCCTTTTTTCTTGAGGAAGACTGATCCTGGGCTAACATCCGTGCCCATCTTCCTCCACTTTATATGGGATGCCGCCACAGCATGGCTTAACAAGTGGTGCGTCGGTGCGCACCTGGGATCCCAACCTGCAAACTCCCAGTCACCACAGTGGAGCACATGCACTTAACTGCTGCGCCACCGGGCAGCCCTGAAATTCATGTAGTTTTAATGGCACACGATCAAACATTATTGAAAACTTATTGAGGGACTATGTTCAGCAAGTAACAGGAAACACACACAGTCTTCCTGACATGAGAAAGGTGACTGTTCTCACGTGGAAGAACTAGGTCAAGGCAGCCACTGCACAATGCAGCAGAGAAACAAACGCCCAAGTCCTTCTGTTTATGCCCCACTGTAGCTGTCATGGTGAATCAGGAAACATGCTCACTAGCACTATTAACATCATAAGGTGTTTCCTATACACACTGGACCTTATTCAGATATCATCTAGAGAAGAGGGGAATCAGAGAATACTCCCAACCACTAAAGTCTGAATTAGATTTCCTTGTGGGCACAAGAGGCCTTACAAAAAAATCCTAACTCTAACGGACTTTGGTGTGAAACTTGTGAAAAGATCAGTGGAAAATACACCTGTAAGAAAATGTAAATCAAACAGTTGGTGGTGGTTTTCAAGATACTCTTGACTAGGAGGGCAAAGAATCCAGAGAATGGGATGGAACACGGTGTCCTCAGAGCTCCTATGTAACCGTCTCTCTCCCAGTATGGTGGCTCCAAAATCGGACTAACGCTTTATTTGCTTCTGCCTTCCAAATCTCATAAAAGTGAGGCTACTGGTGAATTCCAACACGGAACCATAAAGGGATGGATTGTTGAAGATGAAGTTCTCCATATTACCCTCATTTACATAAAACAATACAGGGATGATATGTCCAGCTCTAGATTTTGCTGCCCTATCACTGGCCTCTACTTAATTCAAGGTCTATTCACCAAACACCAGTCAGAAGGAAGGACAAAGAGCAAAGGCCCAAATATGAAAATAACAATTCACAGGAAAGCATATTCTTTGACAAACTTGCCGTACATTAAAATTTATTCCAACTGTTTAATAATATAGAAAATAAAAACAGGTTCCTACACCTATCACCCCAAAAAAGGAGCTTTCTGTAAGAAAGGTACAATATATACAACAGATTAGGCATATCCAGGAATTTCAATACAATGCGAGTAAAAAAGTTTGGACAACAACAAACTGCCATTTTTCAATGGCCCCTTAACACAGAACAATTAAAACATTATAAAAAAAATTAAAGGAGAAAATATTATTAACTGATTTAAGAAAAAAGCACCACCTATTAATCTTTATGTAGTATTAAGAAAGAGTGACTTGCAGAATTTTCTCACCTCAATATTCATTTCTGAAAGTTATTAGTAGAAATCCACAATCCAATGTTGCACTTTAAGAAAGAAGCTTAGTAAACAATATATTTATAACTTTTATAACAACTCTTTCATGTTGAAAGTTTTTTAGAACATTACATGCAAATTAATTTCCATCAAGCTTTCCTGACTTACATTTATATTTCTTTTTGGAGGGAGTTTCACAGAGAAGGATGTAGGCCAATTGAAATCCTTCCCTCACTGTTTACATTCAAGAGGTGTTTATCAAGTGAGTCCTTCATGCCTTCAGAAAGAACTGGGATGACATAAAGCTCTCCCACATTCTTTACATTTACATGGTTTTTCCTCTAGTGCACATTCTTGCATATCCTTGAAAGTATTCATGAAAAATAAAGGCTTTCCCATTTTATTGACATCCTCAGGAATTCTCTCCATTGTGACTTCATTCATGTCTTTGAAGTGAACTGGGAAAACTAAATGCTTTACTACATTTTTTACATTCATACAGTTTCTATCCAGTATGAGTTCTTTCATGTTTTCGAAGACAACTGGCAGAAGTGAATGCTTTACTACATTTTTTGCATTCATAGGGTTTCTCTCCAGTGTGATTTCTTTCATGTAATCGAAGAGAACTGCAAGAACTGAATGCTTTACTGCATTTTTTACATTCATAAGGTTTTTCTCCGGTATGAGTTCTTTCATGTTTTTGAAGAGAACAGGAAGAAGTGAATGCTTTACTGCATTTTTTACATTCATAGGGCTTCTCTCCCGTGTGAGTTCTTTGATGTTTTCGAAGAGAATAGGAAAACCTGAAGGCTTTACTACATATTTTACATTCAAAGGGTTTCTCTCCAGTATGAATTCTTTCATGTGTTCGAAATGCACTGGGAGAAATGAATGCTTTATTGCATTCCTTACATTTATAAGGCCCATCTCCAGTGTGAGAAATCATGTGTGCTTGAAGGCTTGAGGAAGTTATAAAGGCTTTCCCACATTCCTTACACTCATAGGGTTTCTCTCCGGTATGAATTCTTTCATGTACTTGAACACTACAAGATAAACTGAAGGCTTTCCCACATGTCTTACAGTTATACGGTTTCTCTCCAGTATGAGTTCTTTCATGTACTTGAACATTACTGGGAAAACTGAATGCTTTACCACATATTTTACATTCAAAGGGTTTCTTTCCAGTATGAATTCGTTCATGTTTTTGAAGTGAACTGAGAGAAATGAATGCTTTACTGCAGTTTTTACATTCATAAGGTTTCTCTCCAGTGTGAGTTCTTTCATGAATTCGAAGAGAACTGGGAAAAGTGAAGGCTTTCCCACATTCCTTACATGTATGTGGCTTCTCTCCATATTTTTGAAATGCATATGGTTTGTGTTCAGTGTGACATCTAACATGCCTATTAAGGGACGAATGATGCATGAAGACTTTTCCACATGCACTGCATTCACATGGTTTAGCTCCAGTAGTTTTCTTGTTCAGATTGAGATTTGGAATAACGCTGAAGTTTTCTCCACACTGACTACCCTCTTCACTTTCACCGAGTCTCCCTACCATATGACTTCTGTAAAAAATGAGAAGCACATTCTTAATGATTTCTTCATTAATGATTTTATATTTGTTATACTTATTGATTTATAGGAAAAGTGTTGGTTTTCTGCCTTGTCTGAATGCTCAGAAACCGAATACACCGAATGCTCTGCAAGAGGGCATCACCCTTACTATTATCCAAAGAGTGATATTCAAATGTAGGGTTGATTGATTCGTTTCCAAGTAAACTCTTTTGCAAAAACTGAACCTCTAAATCACATTTCAGAAAGTATATTTGGTGAAAATTTTCTAACAATAGCTAAATTTGAAGCAAGGATTATTTGTTTTGTTTACATCTTTTTAAAATTTCCTAAGATACCAGGATTCTCACATGAGACACTGTTTTCTATTGTGACTGTGACTCACCTCTGTTTTCTCCCTTGGATTTTGTACTGATCTTCAATATCATGATCTTCCCATGTTTTTCCTGAAATGCAGACTCACAAAGTTGATCCCAAAGTATTAGAAATTATAAAACTTTTTAGATTCTAAGTCCATGATGAGCTATGATCATTTCTAGTTTATTTACCAACATCTCCCCTTTTCCCATTCTACATCTTGGAAATATGTTGATGGGCAAGAGACACTTGTTCTCTGACTGATGAAGTGAAGAAATGTCCTCATTCTTACCTATTGAGGCCAGGTTCCTGAAGGTTTCCCACATCACATCTCTGTAGAGTTTCTTCTGTGAAGGATCCAGTAAAGCCCACTCCTCTGCGGTGAAGTTCACAGCCACATCCTCAATGGTGACTGAGTCCTAAAACATCATATATATGTGTAGAGTAGGATGCATAAGTGTAACAGCAGTGGAGACCTATACTCCATTTGTAGGAAAGTTACATATGATTCTCTCATCTCCAAACATTTATTCTCTGTCGTAATCATCAAAAACTCACTGTTTTTCTGCACATACTTCATCATCAATTTAACAGCATGATGAACACATGGAAATATTTTACACATTTTTACTGTGATCACATTACGTTGTATTTCTCTCTAATGGCAGGGTGTGGAGCATGTTTGGAAATGAGAGAAATGAAATACAAATCAAACAAATATTATCCTCTTAAGACTGATGGTTCCTTGTGAGAAAAATTCTTTCATCTTCTTCCTTATTACCCACCAGTTACAGCACTCCATGAGGCAGAGGGTCAAATCTGCATGAGGTTTCAGTGGATAAAAACACAGTGAAGGAGTAGAGGCTTTTTTTGTCTAATCCCATCACCAAACACAGTCCAGGAGGTCTCTAGAAACCAATCATTTAACAAAGCCCAGCTGGCCCTATTTTCCTAAAGTACTCCAGGTTATTACAAGTAATGAGATGCAGCTGGCTGAATGTAAATATTCTTCTGGGGAAGCATTGCTTTTAACTTGTGTATACTTATCATAGACTTAGTTCTTCCTTTCTCTATGCATATGATTTGATGGGGCTAGAAAGTTATTTGGAACTTTGAGCTCAGACAAAAGGAAGAAGGCATGACAACTTAAACCATAAAATTCCTATACTCATGTGCCTCAAAGCTACTTCCCACCAATTTCTAGAACACACAGTGAGATAATGTGCCATAAGAGCTCTTTCAGGTCAAACACTAACAGTGGACCCTGGGCCTTGCTGGCCTTGAGGGGCAGGTTAAGAGCTGCAGATTGCGGGGAGTTCACAATGGTTTGACAGTAAATTTGCCCATGATTATAAAATATGTGAAGGATTTAACACTGCTTTCCTCCAAAAGAACATAAAATCTCAATTCTCCAACTTCAAGAGGAAGTGTTTCCTAACCAGACACTCTAGATGACGTCCTGTCAACTTCTGATCCTACACTTAAGGAACTTAGAAGCTGTCATTCTTGATCTCACAAGAAAATGAACAATCTTGAAATGAAATACTCTTCTTAGATCCATGAGATCTTTGAGGTCATAGAGCAAGCCAGCGTCTCTATAATTAGGAAAGAGAAAAGAAGATGGCATTTCTGAAATATGCCCCAGATATTCTATTCTTAATAAGGCCTGTAATGGGCCGGCCCCGTGGCTTAGCGGTTGGGTGTGCGCGCTCCGCCGCTGGCGGCCCGGGTTCAGATCCCGGGCGCGCACCGACGCACCGCTTGTCCGGCCATGCTGAGGCCGCATCCCACATGCAGCAACTAGAAGGATGTGCAGCTATGACATACAACTATCTACTGGGGCTTTGGGGGGAAAAATAAATAAATAAATAAATAAATAACTCTTTAAAAAAAAAAAAGAATATAAACATCTCAATCATTTCAGTTAACCTGGATGTAGTCTTTCTCAGTGAGTGCATATCTTTTAATTCTAGGAA